CAGAGCCAACACTCTAATCAGAGTCTTTCATCAACAGTTCCTCTAACCTGGCCACTGATGCTATAACTCTTTCCTCTTCTTCTTTTGACAAAGGAACATTTTTCCACTTCTCCATGAACGAAAGCTCAACCGACAGACCATGAACATAAACACCAAACGCAAGACTCAAGGAAAGGAAAGTTTTTAAAAATTATACCACCTTCATGAGGAAGAGAAAACCAGCCACAACTCAGTATAAGGGTAGGCCACAAAGAAACTGGAAATATCGACCAGAGATGAGTCTGGGGACAAGAAAAACACTAACCCTAGCTGTCACAGGAAAGGATAAAAACACGTTAAGTCTAGAGACAAGGGAGACTCTCTCTCTAGACACGTGGAAGTTTCCCAGCAAGAGTTTCACTATAGTATTATATTTAGATGAAAAGTAACACTTATATTTAATGACAGTTATTATATACTTTCATTAGTTTCTATTATATCACTCTAGATATTATTATTGACTCATTTGTTGAAAAATAAGTGTGAGATATGTTGAGAAACAAGTATGAGTTCTAAATTCCATATTGGTTTAAAAAGTGGAGGTTGAACACTTTATAAGTAAGATGACTCATACACCTATCACTTTAAGATTTTGGATAAATATATGATATGTCTCTCACTTGTTTGGATGAGTCTTTGACCTTTTGATGAGTGTTTGACTCAATGTGTATGATTCTCTTCATTATCCATCATAAGAGTTACAAGAAAGTTTTGTTAGAGATATTTAATTTCATATACATGTTGAATTGGTTTGGGTTGTTTTGTTAAAACATTTGAGAATTTCTTTTTCCATCCTAGATGTTTCTTATGGACCATGTGAATTTTCACACATGCCCCCCAACTCTAGAGATAAATCTCTGGACACACCCCATTCTTGAATAAACATTGACATATTCCAAAGATACATCTCTGAAACCATTTTAAACATTCAAAACATGTCACTCAGACACCATTTATATTTGAATCATTCTTGAGATGCATTTTCGATAATATTCTGGAGATACATCTCCGAAGTGTATCAAAACAAGTTATTTTTTACTATAAGTTGTGTATTTGTTTTCAAATAAAGTATAACACACGATCCAAAATATAAAAAAAAATAGATGTACATAATAATACGAGAATAATACTGGATAAAGTAAAATAATATATGTATACAATGTTGTACAATATAGATCCAAAATGTGATAAAACCGTAAAAATAAAGTAGAGAGTATAATAATATAACATAATAATAACAAACTACTACTCGGTGTGCCTGACAACATCTCCTATGCCTCCTTTGCCTCTTCACTCATCACCCCCTCCCCCCGCCCCCCCGTCCTCCAACGATGTCTCAGGTACAACAATGCCCTTTGTGCCTCTACCACCATGGCATCTAGGACTCGCCTAACAGCAGACCCTTTAGGGAAGATACCCTCGTCAATGCCTTCTCGTGCATTCTCCACTATAAGATGACACTAAGGCAAGACATCATTATTATGATCTAGATGACTCTGTTCCTCTTCTAGTGTCTACTATTGAGCTGGTCATGGTAGATCTCCTGCAGAAGTCTGCACCATGTACAAATGTGACACCCTGAAGAGCCACCTGATGTATCCGTCGACGTAGCTCCAATCATTCAGTGCTATGATAGCCCGTGCCTCCTCCAGAACCAGATGAATCTCATGATTAGTAAAAATCTCCTCTATCTGTCCACGAGTCAAGGCAAGAGGAGCAGAGACAATAGGGTGTCTGAGGATGGTATGGGTGTACCCGAACTATCGCATGACCCACTAGGGAAAGTGAGGAGCAGTGATACGCGATATGCAGGCCAACCATCCGGAGTGTAATATATCTCATTAAATGGATGCGTCTGACGGTGATCCACGTAGTTGTTGAAGTGCATGTCATCAGCAACCAAACGATCAAGGTACACTCTGAAAGGCTCGACCACCTAGTTCTCTCTCAGCGGGATAAAAGCACCACATCCTCGGTGTACTCATCCATACTCTCCTAACCAGCAATACGCGGGAAATGATGGAGGATCCAAGTTTTGAAATGAAAATAAATAAATAAAGCATTCAAGGATAAAGAATTATCGGAAATGGTTTCACAAATATGCGATAAAAATAACAAAAAATAATTCAAATATTAAGAATTATTACCACTAGTAGTGTCACTCTCCTTGTGACATGCTTCGTCTTCCACACGAATCCCTTCCTCAAATTCGAATAAAGATGGGGAAGGCAAGTCGCCCCCCAATTGTACTCATGAATTTGAGTGGGATCCAAGAAGTAGCGTAGGTATGCAATATTAGTATAAATGGCACTAGCGTCCACAAAAATACAAGTGCCAAACAAAAAAAGAAAGTATGCTCTCAAAGCATGTGTCTTGTATACCGCCACCTTCTTAGCATCACCATGTGCCTGCTATGTGTTCTCGATCTCGACCATATAGAGCTTCCTCAAGAACTCAAATATAGCATGAATACCCCTAGTCTTATCCACCACCACCATCGCATATTCGGGATCATTCCCCAGATGCTCTACCATCATCTCGACTACCTCGTCTTTGGTTATCTTCCCATGATTGAGGAATCTCCCCCTGATTAAAAGATGTAACAAACACGAGATATCGTCCAGTGTGATCGACATCTCACCATGTGGCAAATGAAAAGAAGAGGTCTCAGAATGCCATGTCTCTATGAATGCATTAAGCATCATGTGGTTGACTAGGTTGTACCTGGTCATGCATAGGTCTTTTAGGCCAGATAATAGAATACTCTGAAACTAATCGCCTTCCTGCTGAGGCAATGCAACAATCTTCCTCCCATGGTTAAGAAACTTCTGGGGATCACGCACATGAAAATTTCCATAAATAAACAATGTCAGTAATGATCAATGTCATCAATTAAAATTAACGTAAAAAAAAAATCAAAAGTCCAACTAATGCCACCATATGGACCTCCTCCAAAACCTCCTGCCTTAGCATCTGCAGCAGCCTCACCCTCCAGATGTGGCACTAGATCAACAAGATCATTAGCGAAAGGTGGCACTGGATCAATAGGAGGTAGCACGGGCGAATCCTAACGTCTACGGGAGGATGGGGGAAGTGACACGCCAGTTGGTGAATCCCATCTTCTACGGGAAGAAGGTGGAGTGGCCTGAGGTGAAACATGATCCTCAGAAGTAGACTGCGCCCCAGAAGTCGACGTCTCTGCCTGATTAGAGGTACCTGCTGCCTCCGAAATCTATTAGCTCTGCTCTTACGAATGTATTCTTGTTGGGCTTTCCTGTCATGTCTTAGTTTGTCGACTCTGTTTGCCATTTTTCCTATAAGGTAAAGTAAGACATATCATTTATGCACACAAACAAAACAAACAAACAAGAAAATTTAAATATAAAAAATAGACTGCAGGAAATTCTAGAGATTGATCTCCGGAAACACCATACAACAATAACATTGAACAATTTTGGAAATGCATCTCCGAAAACACCTCAAAACTATTAACTTTGAAGAGTTCCGGAGATGCATCTCCGGAAATTCCCAAAGCATATGAAACACTGAACTATCATGAAGATGTATCTCCAGAAATTTCTGCAACGCAGAGGTCACGACAATGAGGTAATGTGGTCATGCAAGTTGAAAAAGCATGATCTAATCACCATTTTGAGCCAACAAACAAGTCATAAACTAAGTCTAAGCTATGTTACACACAACTCTTACATGTTTCTAACATAATCATTGATTCCTACACATTTACAAAAAACTCAAAATTCATCTGAAAACTCAAAAATTTACCTAAAATTTATGATTTTGATAATATTATTGATTATGTTTTATGTTCCTTTGAGTCTTGTTTAATTTGATGTTGTGAATAAGTTGAAATTTTATGTTGAGAAGATTCTGAGAAGTGTGAGGGAGGAGAAGAGTTTGGAGCGACTTATGCTCTAAATTGTTTCGGAGATATATCTCTGAAATATTTCAACATTCACTGAACACTAAATGCGTCCAGAGATATATTTCAAAAATTAAAAGACATATGTAAAATTTCACATGATGCAGTAGAAATATATAGAGTACTATACTAAAAATATCTTCTTACAAAGAAAAAACGTCAACATTTTCACTAAATATTGAATATTGCATTATATTTCATTAAATTTTCATTAAATTATCTAAAATATCAATGATTTTTCCGAGTGAATACCCAAATTCTTAACTAATTTATTAAAAAATATTTTACACTAAAGTTTTGTTAATATTATTGATGTGAGGATATTCTTTTTAGATATATAATATGTAAATATTTATGCAAATATTTTTTTTATCTGAATACACATGTTCTCATTCTAATAAGTATTTATAATCCAACTAATTAAAAATACTTTTAATGCATCCTTCTTTTCTTTTAAAGGTTTCCCAATTTTTAAAAAAGTTTAATTTTTTTGACCTGTGAGATTTGTGGTAATTTGATGAATCTTGAAATCAAATTAGTAAAAAAATTTATCCATCACAAAAAATTGGATAGAGTTACTAATAAAGTTCTATAAAATTTAAATTATTAATTAAATAATTAAATATAATAAAATTATATGATATATTATCCAACTTTTTATGATGGAAAAAAGTTGTCCGGCAGTTAAATAATTAATATTAACTGGATATATATTTGTTGTTTGTCTGTCATCCCTTTTGTTTTCTATTTATATCTAATGCTTTTTATATCATTAGATAAAAATGAAAACTATTAGAAAACAAAGCAAATAAAAAGTTATCTTGACCACAAGAAATCTTCTATATTAGCAATTCTATATATAGATCGATTACACCTATTCTACATTTACATATATATATATATATATATACACTCTCCAAATTGTTCTTAAAAAACATATTGAAGGTGTTGTTTTCCTCTTCTATTTTTCCTTTACTTCATTTTCATCTTGATAAGGGAGATAGTATTCAGAATTAGAAAAATGAAGGACGTTATTGGAAACCCTTTACGCCTAAAATCAGTGAATCACATCTCCCTTATCTGCAAATCAGTGGATGAATCTATCAACTTCTACCAAAATATTCTTGGTTTCATTCCCATTAGAAGGCCTGGATCATTTGATTTTAATGGGGCATGGTAATTTATTTTCTTCAAGCTTTCCTTATTTTTTTTTATAGATTTTTATTTTTTTTTCTTCATGTGATGATGAATTTTGCAGGCTATTTGGCTATGGAATTGGAATTCATCTTCTTCAGACAGAGAACCCTGAAAATATTCCAAAGAAGGATAAAATTAATCCAAAAGATAATCACATATCTTTCCAGGTAACATAATTCATTTCAATCCAATTTAAAAAAAATAAACTATTAAAAAAAATAAACTATTTTTGTTCCTATTCTGGCTATAGAGAAAGGACAAAACAATACAAACGTTTTCTATACCTTAACTTATATTTCACTCTTCTGTATATTATGATGGTGACATGCAAAGAGGTTGAATATTTAACCGAATATATGAACATTTTGCTATGCAGCACTTACGCATATGAACAAAAATATGTCTGGTGTCTGATATATATTAATGCTGTCAATATAAATATGTTGTTGTTGTGAATGGACAGTGTGAAAGCATGGGAACGGTACAGAAATGTTTGGAAGAGATGAAGATTGAATTTGCTTGCGCCTTGGTGGAAGAAAATGGAGTTAAAGTTAATCAATTATTTTTTCATGACCCAGATGGATTCATGATTGAGATATGCAATTGTGATAACCTTCCTGTTATTCCATTAGCGGGTGACTTGGTTAGATCATGCTCTAGTGTCAATCATGGCATTATACAACCACAGATGCATGTTGTCAACCATATTTGAGATCATGAGAACTTTAAGTTGGGGAATTAGAAAGACAAGTTAATTATCAACATCAATGCTATGTAGGAGTGAGTCTTTTTTAGTTTATATATCTATGTATCTATTTGTTAGTTTGTAACTTTCTTATGGATCTACTAGATTCCTTTTGGTTGCAAAAGTAATGAATCATATATAATATATATTAATTATTTTAAGCTATTTTTTCTTTAATGCACAATTAATTAAGCTCTTCTTCTATAATCAAAAGAAAAATGTGAGTAAACATTTGTTGTACTATCTGAGAATATTAGTGTGTAAGTTGACAAAAACTCACAAGTTTCATATTAGTCAGTTTTAATATATTGAATTGCTTTTAACACTTTCTATATAAAGTGGTTACTATATAAAAATGGTTTAAAGGAGATTTATAAATATATATTTGTCTCTCTTGGTGAATGATAGCACAACGAAAGTTTTTAAGGTTTTAAGGGGTTTAAGACAAGGTAACCCATTGTCTATTTTCTTATTCTCTTTAGTGGTTGAAGTCTTGCCCTTGTGGTGAGGAGGGCAGTTAACAGAAATATTCTTAGTGGTTTTAAATTAAATGAGGAGGACTCAATTAGTTTAATCCAATTTGTTGACGACACAATTATAGTTTGTAATGATACTTGGTCAAATCTATAGGGTCTAAAATCTATCTTAAGAGATTTTGAAATAATTTTGGGGTTGAAAATAAATTTTTAGAAGAGTTGTCTATATGGTGTGGGGGTTGGGCAAACATTTATGAGGACTGCTGCTCAGTTCTTGGCGTGTAAATTTGGATTGTTACCATTCAAATTTTTTGGTATATCGGTTGAAGGAAATCATAGACGTGTTGATTTCTAGAAACCAGTTATTGCTTGTTTCATATCAAGGCTATCTTCTTGGAAGGGAAGGATGTTATCAATCGAGGGTAGGGTGATGTAATACCCTAATTTTTATCCCTAATATTTCTCACATCTCATTTTGCAGCTTTTCATCATGAACAAGTTCATGCTTTGGTTCCTCTATCCCTCTCATCTTTGAGTTTATACCTTGCAGGGATCACCAAGCATCTGCTTGTTTCTTATTTGCCTTTATTTGCTTATACTTACTAACCATTAATTAAATACCAAAAATATGTTTATTCTTTCTCTATAAACTTTTTTAGGAAGAGGTTGGAGTCAAGAATACCAATCAACAGTTCCTCAGCTCGAATAAATTTCATCTGAACAAAGGCAAAGTTGATCTGAAAACAATTCAAAATCATTTGATCAAGAGTTTCCAAGATTTAATTGATAATTATTCAAGAGACTTCAAGATTCATGTGTTTATTTCCATACCTTCTTTGAAAAGAAAAAAGAATCGAGCCCGAGCGAAGACAACACGTCAAAAAGCAATTTTTCACATTTTTTGCTTGTGCTAATCAATTACCAGTATTAGGGTAATGATTACCCTGTGCGTTTTTTGTGAAAATTTGCAAAATTTAAATTCAGCAGCATTTTTGGCACCAAATTCAAATGTTTCATCATGAGAATATTCTAGATCATTTCATTTTTATTCTCCTACCTCATCACAATTAATTCCCCCCATACACCTTCACTAATCACCACTTGATCTTGATTTTGCCTCCAAATTTAAATTCCAAGTCTAATTTTGGTTCAAAACCAAGCTCCAATCCACCAAAATTTCAAAGCCTAAATGCTATAAATAGAGGTCTCATTTCATTCATTTCACAAATTTTTAATAACTAAATTCACCTTGTCAAAAATTTCTTCTTGACTCATCTTTTCCTTCTCTAACTACCAAACTCACCAAAGTTTTTCCTTCCTTTGAAAGTTAGTAAGTTCATCACTAGAACATACTAATCTTTAAGCTAAACCTTCATCCATTCACTTTTTCATCATCAATTTCAGTAGATCAAGGCTTTGGAGTATGGTTTTTTGGAGTTGATTTAAAGAATTTTCAGATTTGAAGTGGTAATCTCTTGATCCACCATTGTTCTTCTTGATTCATCCTTCATAATGTGATCTATTGTTGATTCTTGTTGCTTGATCTTTGGATCTTGCAAATTATGTTCCATTGGTTTTGTTTGCTGTTATTTTACTTGAATTTTCGTGCTCAATTGTATACTTGATCATGAGGTGTTCGAAGAAATGATTGATCAAGGATTTGCCATTTTTCAAATTATTTTTTTGTTGTCTTAATAGGTGTAATCGATTACCTTCCTGGTGGTGTTAGAATAGTGGTAAAGTATCGGGATTTGTTATCGTCTCCACAGGGAATCTGTGATATTGTCGCCGTTCGACAGTTGTCAAGTTTTTAACTTATAGTAAAAAAAAGGGTTTTGGTTTTTCGTTACGGTAGCTTGCATAGAAAAAGTAATAAATGCGGTAAAAGTTTAGGTTTTACGATTTGAGATATATTGTCAAAGTTAGGGTTCAACGACCACTTTGCATGTATATGTTCGTTCAATAAAACTCATAAACTCCATTAGATAAAAAACGCATTCACAATATCCTCTCAATGTAATTATTTCAAACTCACATTGTGGTTTTTCCCATTTTGATCCATTGTTGATTTCTCACACAATCTATCAAAATGACAACTTTTAGGGTTTGATATTTTAGTGAACAACCACATTCAAGACTATCTCTAGCTCAAGAACATAGATGGATAAAAACCTAGGTAAAGAGTTGATAAATATCTTTCAATCATAAACCAACACAAAGAGTTAACAATAAGACAAAGTTTTCATCATATATTCATCATTAAAGAGTTTACAAATGAAGATCATCCCATTTACATACAAAGCTTGTGATCATCTACATCTAACCTTGACAAAATGAAGAACTTAGCTACTCATTTTCATGGTAACTTGCACAAGAAGTTTCGGGAGACGGTTGATCAACATCCGAGTCGAAGAATCGAGTTTGGATGAGAATCCACCTTCTTTTTGAAAGATCTTGTTAAGAATTGAAAAATAATGATAGATTGGGTTTTTAGGTCACAAATATATCCCTTGGAGCAAAACAAAACAAAGTGGTTGGAAAAAGCAGAAAAAGATAAAAAGATATTTTTTACAAAAGTAGCCCATGCTACTTATAGACAAATAAAGTGATGTTCTGCCACGCTCGCTACCTTGCTCGCCTAGCGAGGTCATTGCGAGCGTTCGCTACCTGCTCGCCTAGAGAACATGCTAGCGAGGTCTAGGATGTTGCTACTGGAAGCGTTCGCTGGCTTGCTCGCTAGGTGCTCGCCTAGCGAGTTCTTCGCTGCCTTCCTCGCCCCAAGCGAAGCTGATCAATTTGATTTTGTCCAAGTCTGGGAGTGTTCGCTAGCAGCTCCCTATGAGCTCGTCTAGCGAACGTTCGCTACCTCACTCGCCTAGCGAACATGCTAGCGAGCTTGCTTTTGATTGCTTTCTTTCTTGATTCCTTTGCCATTTTTCTTGTGTCTTCAAGTTCTACTCTTTCATGCCTAAATACTGCACAATAACATACAAATCAAAAGGACCAAGAGTATTTCACATAATGTTGCATATAAACAAAAGCAACGCGGTTTTGAACACAAACTTGACAAAAAGGAGCGAAAGATGTCCATATTTGATAGCTCAAATAAGCACAATTGGGCATCTAACAACTCTCCTCAACTAGAGTCTTGCTTGCCCTCAAGCAAAGTATGCCTCTAGAAGATCAAGAGGATTTGCTTAAAGAAAAAGGTTTCTTCGAAATTGGATAAAATGGCTCAAAAACAAGAGAATCAACTAGATACAAGTCTCCAATGGTTAGAACAACTCACTACACAAGAACTAAAACCTTATAGCAATGTAAAACATGTATCAATCAACAACAATGATATCCTGAATGAATCACCCTATCGCTCCTCTTCGAATAAGGATTGAAGAGATCACGCATTTACAACCGCGGGTGCAATTTCACTCTCCAACAAACAATGTCACACTCAATTCAATTCATACAATTTCTAACAATTATAAATGAAAATGCGGAAGCACGAACATCACTAAGGTCTTTTCCGGTTGTAGCTTGGTTAGGTTTACAAACAAGGGATATATCTAAGGCCATTGAAAACGAAGTTGCCGACGCAAAAGAGACATTCACTGTTCAACTATTCACACATCTCAACTTCATTCAACTTGTTTCTCATTTGAAACCTTCACAACTCAATTCATTTCCCACTATTTTTCTTCCAAGCAAGCATTCATTTTCATCATTTTTTTACACAATATTCACAAAACAAGTGTTTTCTCTATATATTTTTTTTCTTTTTCAATGCTTGTTTGGTTATTCCAGAGTTGTGGTAACCTACCGATTTTCATTTCCGTTCTCCCAAACTTATCTTTTACTTACCCAAAGTGAATGCTCTTGACTTTTTACGACAAAAGAACAATTATAAATTTTTTTTCAGGGTTTCAAGAAAAAGATTTTTGAAGTATCGCTTTGTTTCAGCTGAGATTCAACTATTTAAGCTCAAAGGGGTTCACGAATACTCTCTGCTCACGGGTAGTTTGTATTTGGAACTGGTTGTGCTCGAAAGAGACAAGTGCCTTGGTCATTTCTAATTGCTTCCACAAATTCACAATAATAAAATACAAAGCATGAATTAAAAGAATCAACACAGTTTATTAGAATCTAACATTTATTTGTAAAATGGAGGTTTTCTCACAATTCGTGGTCTTAAGTCCTAAGTGAATCATTCATTCAATTATGTTGCAAAAAGAACAATATTCAATTACGAAAAGAGTAAAGTTCCTCATGCATTCTAAAGTTCTAACCGAAGGTAACCATGTACCTTAGCCTTATTCACTTGTTTATTTTCATCATTGCCATCCAAGCTCGGATGCACCTTCATTGGATGCTTCTTTCAGAGAGCAACCAATCTAGAAGGTTTGACCCTTAACAATAAAAAATTTATTAAACACAAGAAATTGAACCAAACACAATAATTTAAAACAAAATGCTAAATTTAAAACATTACTTCCAAAATAAAAATGTGCATGGGGGACAAAACACCCCAAAGAGTACAACCAAAATAACAAAGTATCTGAAAATACTAAACAATAAAACATAACAAAAAAGAAAACTTAGTCCTCATCGGACTCATACTCCTCATCATCACCATCATCGTCATCATCATCAGCATCATCGTCACCATCGTCATCATCATCAGCAGGACCACTAGAGACACCCGTCCCCTCTATGAAAATAGGTCTGTCCTCAGGCCAGCCCGCGTGCTGCAGAAACTGCTCTCGCGTCATTATCGAACGCTCAACCGAAGGGTCACAGAACTGAAGCTGAAGTACCTGCATTGAATCATGAATATCCACCATGGCACGCTGAGTTGCCACCATCCAATCTCAGTTGTAGTTACACACTGCCTGCTGAAAAGGTTCGAACCCCTGAGAAAAAGCACCAGGACCATCAGTAGTCCCGACATCACTAGCACCAGCAGCTGCACCTTCTCTGATATTCTTAGGCCTATAATACTTGTCCACATATCTGTCATCGATTGCGGACGGAATCTTCACAAGGCTGCGGGAAGGAAGCTTCATCCGCGACTGCGAGCATAAAGCCATAATGAGGCAAGGAAAAGCAAGGGGGCAATTAACTCGCGCCCCCGACTTCAGTCCACTCTCAACCACTGACTTCATCTCATTAGCAATGATCTGAGCCACATCAATCTGAACATTAGTAAGAATACTGTAGACTAAGTGTGCCATTGAGATCTGCACGGTCGATGTATGTGATTTGGGCTTAATGTTGGTCAGAACCAACATCAATATCAGCTGAGCAATAGGAATCATATCCTCCCTATGGTACCTCACTGCCACTCCAGATGAGTTTTTCTCAACACTCTTTCCCTCTAGCAACAGGGCAGCAGAAATATCATCAGTGTTAGGGAGGATCCTCAGGTCTCTGGTGTACCTATCCAGCTCATTAGCTCCTAAATTGAGTGGTTCACCAAGTACCCGGTTAATGGCATATCTATCGAAAGCGACCTGACGGCCTAACATTATGGTCATATAATTCCAATTGCTCATTTGCAGCAATGGCTTCAATGATCTTCTTAATACCAGTGGCTGTTGTAAAGTTTGATGAGCCACCGACTGCCATATCAATGAGTTGCTTAGTCTTCATCTTGAGATCATTCACAAACATCTGCATCTGTTCAGTTTGATCCATGTTATGAGTAGGGCATGCAACCAATAACCGTTTAAACCTTTTATAAGCATCGCCTAGTGGTTCTCCCTCCTTCTGTTTAAAATTCATGATATCATATATTTTATGAATATACACAGAGGCAAGAAAATACTCATTAAGAAAGGCCTTCTCCATCTCTTCCCAAGTAGCAATACTCCTGGCAGGTAGCGAGTAGAACCGCTCTTTAGCATCTTCAGAAAGAGTTAACCGAAACATTCTTAATTTTTTTGCTTCATCAGTGTGCCCATCAATCTTGAGAGTAGTGCTCATAGTCAGAAATCTTTGCAGGTGTTTGTTGGCATCTTCATTAACCTTTTTGGTGAAAGGTCTCCTCTCAAGTTGGGTGATGGTGCTCGGATACAACTGGAAATTTGCCATGTTCACCGGTTGGCTTACAATTGTTAACCTACCAACTGGTGCATTAGCTCCATTATAATCACCAAGGAGTCTCTCTGTTGGTGGAGCTTCAACCATAGTCATAGTATTTCTATCTGAGTTTGAACCTGAATCAGAATGCTCTTAATGAATAAAGACTTTTTCTTCTTCTAGTGCTAACGCAGAAGGCTCTGCTTCTAAAGATGCCAATCTTGCTTGTCTACACCTTACGTCTAGAGTTCTTTTGATTTCTGCGTCAAAAGAAAAATTAGCTGAGGATTCTCCTCGCACAAAAATGTTAAACGCAGATTAGTAGTAACAGAACAAAAAAATTAATTAATAAAAATTGAAAATAAAGTTTTAGTTAACGAGCAACAAAATTTCAATTGAACTAAAATTAAAACTTATAATTTGGTAGTCCCCAACAACGGCGCTAAAAACTTGATCTGAAAAATAACAAGTGTATTATTTTTGCTGGTTATAGTTAAAATAGGGGTTTTATCCCCAGTATCAATCTCGAGGACTGCGTAGGAAATACAAGCTATATAATAACTCAATTGAACAAAAGTACTTGGAGTTTTGGATTTTAATTATAAATAATAAACTACAAAGAGAAAATAGAGTAAAAGAGTAAAATAGGTTTCTGACAGATATGAGAAGCATGTTAGGGACGGTATATGAATTGCCTTGTAACAACATTAATCCTTATTCACGGAACATGGCTTAAAACAAATCTTTACCTATTCTCAAGTATAATTTTCCCTAAGGCCTTAGAAATAAAAACCTTTGGTATTCATGCCAAACCCTAAGTCCTTAGAGATTAAGGATGAAATCAAGCATTATATTTTATCAAGAATGTTACGGTTACTACAGGGTATCCCTAGTCCTAGGTGATATCTACTATAGTAATATTGCACAAAAAGCATTAACAGTGGTTTATCCGACCTAAGGTTAACCGTAAATCAATTTCCATTTATCCGATAGAATAACATTAAACACATTGTACAATAAAATTGATTATGAAAAAGCACTTATGTCATAGAATAAAAGAAATCAGGTTCATTACAAAAGCAATTCAGGGACACCCCCTAGCATTTGGGGGTTTAGCTACTCATATAGTTTAGAGAAAATACAAAATAAAAGTTAAAAATTACAAGATAATAGGATTCCTTTGATCTTCAATTGCTTCTGATCATGAAAACCTTCAGTCCTCCAATCTCTTTGATCTCTTCAATCTTGATCGTCAAATTCTTCTCCCGTCAAAAGTCCCTTTTTCCTTCTCAAAATGCGTCTTAAATACTCCCAAGTCCAACACAGCAGTAGGAAAATACCCAAAATACCCTTAGGAATCACAAAGGTCACAAAAACAAGAAAATTGGAAGCTAACACGACCAAGCCAACACGATCCACGGCAGGTGACATGGGCGGCCGTCTTGGCCCCCTGACGTTTTGATGAAAATTATTTATGTCCCAGACTTACTGACACGGGCCTTGTCAGGTGACACGAGCACCCGTATCAGCCCACTGTCCACCACTCAAAATTTTCTCTTTGGGTTCCTCCTGACGCGGCCCGTGTCAGATGACACAGATGCCCGTGTCAGGCCACTGTCTTTCTTCTAAAAACTCTTTCGAAGTCATGCAATTTTTTCTGGTTTCCGATCCGATTCGTCTTGAATGCTTACTTAAACCTTAAAATAATGGAAATTCAAAACAAACCCATAACATGCGATAAAAGGAAATAAAATGCACTAAACATATAGGAAGATTAACTACAACTAACGGTAAAATAACGCACAAAAATCACTGATAACTTACACTCACGATTTTTTCCGCTACAAGTGACTCTTATCAATTATGTGTTAACAACGTTTCCGGAACACCATTTTTCATTCTTCAAAGCTTTGGTATAAGTTGTTAAGGAATTAATGTCCATTCTGAGGAGTTTTTTGTGGTCTGGTTCGGCTGATTGGACATTCATGGCGTGGGTTAGCTAGATGTCCATGTGTAAGCCTAAGGAATATGGAGGTATTGGTATCAAAGACATTAGTGCATTTAATAGAGCGTTAATGACAAAATGACTTTTGAGACTTATACAAGATCCAAATGCGATTTGGAAGGGTATCCTTGAATATAGGTATGGAAGCATTGTTAACAGAATGCTGTCAAAGAATGAGTCAATGGCCTATAGGAAAGAATTGCTCTGGTGGAGGAACGTGATAGAGATAGGTGATTCAATGGAGGAAGAGGGATTTGTTTCACAGATTACTTGTAAATTAGGAGATGATTCACTTGTGTCTTTCTGGAACACTCGTTGGCTTGGTTCATCTTTGTTGAGGAGGCTCTTCCCTGATCTCTTTGAAGCTTCTAAGAAGAAATACGGTGTTGTCATGGATATGGGAGGGTGGGTTGATGATGTGTGGCAATAGAATTTAGGCATTAATTATAGGGTTTTCAATGGAGGTTTGAAGGCAGATCTCAGGGGGTTGTTGTTGTTGTGTGAGGTTAGGCCGATGATTGGAGTTGCTGACTCATTTGTGTGGCCGGGTGGTCCTTATAACTTCTTCTCTGTCAAATCTTGTTATGGTTTACTATTGCAATATGATGGCTTAGATGTGTTGGATATTGCTCTCAAGACTGCACTGCATATTCTGTGGCAATCAAGGATTCCTATTAAGGAAAAGATCTTTGGCTGGAGAATGATATTGGACAGACTTCCAACACGGTCCAATCTTCCGACCAGGGGAGTAATTTTAACTGCCACGATTTGCTTTCTGTTTTCTATTTCAATATCATATAAAATAATGACCATGTTTTTTTCTTCTCATGTCCTCGAATTCGATTGGTATTGAAGTTGGTTTTGGGTCGGGTTGGGGTTTCTTGGATTGGGGAAGAAAATTGTTGTGATCACTTGATGGTTTGGTTCTTGAAGATGGTAGGAAAATGCTCGAAGATGGCTACAAGTCTGATTTAGTTTTCTACTTGCTGGTGTATTTGATTGACTAAAAACCAGGTTATTTTTAATGATGCAATTGGTAATCCAATATTGCTCAAAGAATTATCCATACTTCTTGGTGGTGGTTGGCTTTAAGTTTCACTCATGGTGTCAAATGTAAGTATTATGAATAGTTTATCTAATTTTTTGTATGAGGTTTGATATATAAGTATGATTGGTTGTTAGTGGGAGTTGCTTTTGTATGTATTTTGATTGTTGGGTTGGAATACCCCTAGTATTCCCTTTGAATATATTTGTTGCTTATAAAAAAACGATAAAAAAATACGATTTGAGCTACAATCTCTAATATCAGATAACTCGTGATAGATGGATGGAATCTTGATCACATGAGATCCAAAAGATTGCTTATGAGAACGCCACAAAAGTGTGAAACTAGTTAAACAATTGCAAGTTATTATTATTATAAAGGGTATGCCCTATGTGTGGAAGGGCTTTAATGATCTTCCAAGGCACATGGCCAAATAATTCTCACTAGAAAGTCTAATAATCCACATGCACATTACAAAAAAGCCGCTATATTTGAATTAAATATCAATGAAACGGTCGGTTTAATTCTGAGGTCGTGTGAAAATTTTGAAATATTCGAGTTTGTATGGTTTCTCATGGTCAAAATTAGATGATAAGATTTGGTCCATCAGAATCCAAGAGAAACCGAAAATGTGAAACCATTCTTTTACTTTTATTTTCAATAAGTCTTAACTTATACTGGTAAGTGATGTAAAATCCTATTAATACTTTATAGTTGTGCATACTATACCTATATGACCGAAGCACATCATGAAATAGACACATGATTCAATGCAATTGAATATGTGGTTCAAAATCAATACAATCACTGATACACCATAACCATGTACTCTTTCAAACCTTTTTCATAAATTTATTTCTATAAAAATAAAACCAAAACCTTTTATTTTCACTCACTCACTCACTATTTCTCTCATTTTACCACAGTAAACCTTTCATCTTCATTCTCCTCCATTAATTACTCAATTCCATAACATCATCACATAGTCTCTCTTAAAAAAATTCAAAACCACTCCATTAATTTCTCAATTTCATAACCTCATCGCTTACTCTCTTAAAAAGTTCAAAACCACCATTGATGTTGTTCTTCTCTATCAAAGTGAGGTTATCTCACACCATCTCCATCCTCCATATGTTTATGTCAACAAATGCTATATTTATTCAAAAGTTACTACCTTTTGCTTCAATGGACTAAGAGCCATTTTGATTGTTTATGCGCATCATCACCTGAATATACTAATAATCCGCCATATCCAACATCAGATGAATCTGCCAACCGCCATATCCACTGCTTGAAACGTTCGGAGATGGTCCATAAATAATCTCCCTCAAATTCATTCGGATTTAGTATTTTTCATCCGAATTCGTTCGAATCCAACCGTTGTCCACCCCTAACTATAAATAAGAATTCCAACAATAAAAAGATTGAGTACTCCAAAGTTACAGAAATTGGGATCAACCTCTAACACCAAGAAATGATATTAGGACGCATTTTACATAATGCATCTTCAATACTTCTTAGTCATTATGTGAAACTATTTAAATGTCCTTAGTTTTCGAAGATGCATCTCCGAACGCACTAATTTATATCATATTGATGATGTCTTGCCTAAGTGTCGTCCCATAGTGGAGATTGTGCGTTTGGAGATGCATTTGCTAGGGTACCAGGTACATTCGCCTAACCAGAGATGCGGGAGAAGTGCTTGAGGATTCAAATTTAAAATGAAAAGTTTGGAAAAGAATAATCGGTAATGACTAAAAAAATATGAAATGAAAATAAAATAAAAAATATTTAAAGATCAATAATTATTACCGTAGTATCACTGTGCCAATAATCTATTTCGTATTTCACGTACAACCCTTTCTCAATTTTGAATAAAGATAAACCAAACAAATTATCTTCTATATTAGCTATTTCTATATATAGATCGATTACACCTATTCTACATTTACATATATATACACTCTCCAAATTCTTCTTGAAAAACATATTGAAGGTGTTGTTTTCCTCTTCTATTTTTCCTTTACTTCATTTTCATCTTGATAAGGGAGATAGTATTCAGAACTAGAAAAATGAAGGACGTTATTGGAAACCCTTTACGCCTAAAATCAGTGAATCACATCTCCCTTATCTGCAAATCAGTGGATGAATCTATCAACTTCTACCAAAATATTCTTGGTTTCATTCCCATTAGAAGGCCTGGATCATTTGATTTTAATGGGGCATGGTAATTTATTTTCTTCAAGCTTTCCTTATTTTTTTTTTATAGAATTTTATTTATTTTTCTTCGTGTGATGATGAATTTTGCAGGCTATTTGGCTATGGAATTGGAATTCATCTTCTTCAGACAGAGAACCCTGAAAATATTCCAAAGAAGGATAAAATTAATCCAAAAGATAATCACATATCTTTCCAGGTAACATAATTCATTTCAATCCAATTAATTACAGTGTTTAATTTGTTCATTTAATTCAACTATCAATTAATATCTAATAATTAATTAATCCATATTTAATTAAAATTTATTAATCACATGAATTAGTTGTATATATATATGATTATTCTTCTAGTAACACAACAAGAAACTTTATATTAAAAAAAAAAACTACATGACACAAAAAGCTATAAAAAACTTACAAGGTCAGACATACCATGAAGCAAAACAATACAAACGTTTTCTATACCTTAACTTATATTTCACTCTTCTGTATATTATGATGGTGACATGCAAAGAGGTTGAATATTTAACCGAATATATGAACATTTTGCTATGCAGCACTTCAAAAATATGTCTGGTGTCTGATATATATTATAAATATGTTGTTGTTGTGAATGGACAGTGTGAAAGCATGGGAACGGTACAGAAATGTTTGGAGGAGATGAAGATTGAATTTGCTTGCGCCTTGGTGGAAGAAAATGGAGTTAAAGTTAATCAATTATTTTTTCATGACCCAGATGGATTCATGATTGAGATATGCAATTGTGATAATCTTCCTGTTATTCCATTAGCGGGTGACTTGGTTAGATCATGCTCTAGAGTTGACATTATTCAACCACAGATGCATGTTGTCAACCATATTTGAGATCATGAGAACTTTGAGTTGGGGAATTAGAAAGACAAGTTAATTATCAACATCAATGCTATGTAGGAATGAGTCTTTCTTTCTAATTTATATATCTATGTATTCTATTTGTTAATTTGTAACTTTCTTATGGATGTACTAGATTCCTTTTAGTTGCAAAAGTAATGAATCATATATAATATATATTAATTATTTTAAACTGTTTTTTCTTTAATGCACAATTAATTAAGCTCTTCTTATATAATCAAAAGAAAAGTGTGTGTAAATATTATTTTACTATATCTGAGAATATTAGTGTGTAAGTTGACAAAAACTCAGAAGTTTCATATTAGTTAGTTTTAATATATTGAATTGTTTTCAATACTATATAAAGTGGTTACAATATAAAAATGGTTTAAACCTGTTATAATAAAAGCTTGAACTATTTTTAAGTTTTTTCTTCTCCTCTTCTTTTCAAAATCTTCTTCTTTTTCTTTTATGTTAGCTTTGATAATATTTATCTCTTGGAAAGTTAAAATAATTTTAGTATCATACTCCATGCATAGTATTTAAATGGTTTTAGTAGTATATTTATTCTCTCCTTTCTTTTCAGCCCTTTTCAGAAAATTGTCTCATTGATAAGTTTTGTCCATTTTAGAGTTGTAGTGGTCTAAGTATCATATTTGAGAGTATAATTCTAAAATAGATCATATAATACATAGGACTCCTATACAACTTGTAATTTAGTTGTTTTATTCTGAAAACCTCTTGTCTTGATTCTTCTTGCACAATTTTGAATTGTGTCAAGAAATATTTTAAAGAAAGAGAATCACTTCCAAAAAATTACAACAAATAAGGTTGTTGATATTTAAAGGATTATATTCCAATAGTTCCTCAAGATAAATAAAAGATAAAAATGAACACTCCTTCAAAATAAACATGATTATGTATAGGATAATTTTTATTCTCAATGGTATTCCCGATGATTTATATGATTATTAAAGTGCATATGAATTTGCTAAAGAAATTTGGGGTGTCTAAGAAAGATATTACCTTTTATTATTAGAAGAAAGAATAGAAGGTGTTTATTGTTTAAAGTTGACTTCGGACAAGCTTATGACTCTCTTGATTGAGAGTTTTTAGAAAAGGTGTTGGTTGCTATGAATTTTAGTGAGAAGTGGTTGCAGTGGTTAAAAGTAGGGGGGTTTTAAATAGCTATTTGTCTATTTTGGTGAATGATAGCACAACAAAAGATTTAAGGTTTTAAGGGGTCTAAGACAAGGTGACCTATTGCCTTCTTTCTTGTTCTCTTTAGTGGTGGAA